GCGGACACCCAGGAAAATCTCCCCTCCCCCAACTTACCATGGTGTCCTTCATCTGAGAAATCCGGGCAGCAAGGGGGAGAGAGAGGAGAGGAATGCTGACAGACTGCCCCAGCAGGGGGCCGAGGGCCAGGAGAGGAAGCAGGCAGGGGGAGGGGAGGGCAGGAGAGGAGGTGCACTGTGGGGGCACCTGCTGGGCTAGAGCTATGGCTGGTCAAGACCCAGAAGGACAGGACTCGACCCAGATCACCAGTCCCAGTGAGGGGCAATGCCCAGGGGTAGCCAGACCACCGGAGAGAGAAATGTGTGCCTTTAACCAGGAGTGCGCTTTGGACAGACCCTTGCGTCCTCTTGGCAGGGCCTGCAGAGCTGACCCCAACCCCATCCCAGGATGCCTCGGAAGGCTGGGAGGCAGACAGCCTGCAGCCAGAGCACCTGCCCCTGCTCCAGCCCACTTCCCTCCTAATCCAATTAGCACAGCTCAGTGTTTTCAATTACGCAGGCCCAGCCTTCAGAACCCAGCTGCCCCCACCCTCCAAGTCCTCCCAAAGGCCCTGCTAAATCCAAGTTTCCATTGCCTGTAGAGACGGCGCCAGCCCTCATTTTCTCCCCTTCCTTCCTCTCAGCCTCCCACCAAGCTCCCTGGAGCCGAGGCCAGAGCTGCTGCCCCCGATGCCACAGGACTCAGCCCAACACTGGCCAGGGTGGCTGTGAGGGGGGGAAAGAGAGATGGGAAGGTGGCGGCTGGGCCACCTCTGAAAGCTTTCTCTGCAGAAGACCTCAGTGTAGGGGCCCCCAGGAGAAAAGAGGGGCTCTCCAGGGACACTGCAGAGAGGACCCTGAGTTGGGGAGGGGCCAGTGCAGGCAGCCCAAAAGCAAGAGACAGTGACAGGGACAATGGGATGGGGAAAGCAGGAAAAGAGACAAAGGGGCCTGGAGTAGCCAGGGAGGGAGAGAGCTGGAGGACGACTTCCAACAGGGAGGAACCCGGCTGCCTGCCATATTGTATCCAGGTCAATTACAAGTACCAGCCAGTGCCCAGGGCAGTCGCAAGGTTGCTGTAGTCTTTGACCTACTTCTCTTTCCTCTACCCTGCTTTTCTCAAAATTCTCCTGGCCCCTCCACACATAGATGCACCTGGCTGAATGGCCTAGCCTGTGGTGTAGCAGGGCAGGCTGATGCCCAGGGTAAGGCCTGAAAAGCAACTGAGAGGGGACAGAGAGGGAAGGAGGGTGAGTCGCATGTGAGTGTGCCAAAGTGTGAATCTGGGCATGTGCATGGGTGCCCCAGGGTGTGCTGCATAACTTGGCGAGCATCTGCCAGTATGTTTGTCTATGGGTGTGTCTTGCCAGAGCACATCTGAAGGCTGTGTGTGTGTGTGTGTCTACATTCAGTGTACAATTTTTTATTGTACACCCACATCTGTGTATGTGCGGATGACTATTCTTTTGTACCTAAGCCTCTCACTTGTGTGTGTGCCAGTGTGCCTCCTGTGTGTGCTCTCAGAGTCTCTGTCCCAGTTGGATACAGGTGGCTCGTCTGTGTCTACCCACGTGCTTGTCCATGTGCATCTGTAGCTGGGGGAGTTGGCATGGGCGTGACTGCATGGACCTCCTGATGTGTATCTAAGGGGACATCCTCAGCCTTTCTTCCCGTCAGCCCCTTTCTACCTCCCCCAAATGCTCACTGCCCCTCAGTGCCAGATACCTCCCTCAGCCTCTGCCCCACTCCTGGCATGCACAGTCTCCCCTGCCCCCAGGCCCCGGCTCCTCTCTCAGTGATGCTGGCCTCCAGTAGGTCCAAGGCTCAGAGACAAAGGTGGAAAGGTGAGCAGATAGGGATTGGAGCTACCAAGGAGCAGGCTCAAATACTCAAATGTTACCCTGTGAAAAGCCCCTCACACAAGCGCAAGAGGCACTTACAGCAGTGTGTTTACACCTGCTCACACTCAGGAGAAAACACCATCACGATAACACACATTCCACACACAAACAGGTCCTCACATGCACACACGACCCACTACAATCAAATGTTAATACCTACAGACCTTCACAAACCTGACCCATAATTAACAGTTACAGTGACTCACAAACTTACCCATATAGGAAATCACAATCACACTCGGGAATATCCACACTAAGTCAATCACACCACATACATCCACACACACAAATAAACTGTCCGTCCAACCCACAAGCAGATGCAAATACTCAAGTTCAGTCACACCCTCTAGCTACACTCCCCAACATCCACGCACCTACCTGTGACCCCCCCTAAACATGCTACTCCAACAGCCTCACCCACCAACCCAAACTAGTAACTACACATCAAATCGTAGGGCTCCAGGACGCTGCTGGGCCTGTGCAAGAGTCTTTCCTTGTCTCAGTTCGCAGAAAGGGCTACCAAGGGCCCAGGATAGGATTATCCAAGTCAGAAGCCGTAGCAAGGCTTGAATCCAACCCTTTACACCAGCTAGTTGAGGACTGGGGACGACCCCATTCTCCTGGCCGCCACACCCCTGGGGGAAGGGTTGGTTGGGCAGAGGGAGAGCAGAGGCCTGAGGAGGCAGATCCAGCACCAGGCCCGCTGTCCGTGGTGCTGAAATCTCACCAGACCTCCTGAACCTCTGGTTCCTCTCCGTGATGCTGAGAAACCTCGAGCCTTCCACCTTGTGCCTTCAGAAGCACCCAACATCCTGGGTACCTCTTGCCCACTCCATGCCCAGGAAAGGATGGGTGAGGGGGTGAGAGTCCGGAACCGAGAGAAGACGAGCAGGCAGAAGATAAGGAGAAGCCCAGCGCGGCGGTAAAGGGAGGCGCTGAGGCTCCCCTTCAGTTACTCACATTCCTTGGGGATCTGGATGAGCAGGCAGGGGCTGCACAGGAGGAGAGGCCACAAGTACCGCAGCGCCACGGCCATCTTCCCGGCGGCACCGGCGGCTCGGAGCGGCTCAGCCGACCGGCTCGGCTCAAGCTCTGGCCCCCGGAGGGAAGGGGGCTAGTGGGAAGCTTGGGGAAGGAGCCGGGGGTGGGGGCACTGTGAGAAGGGAGGAGGGAAGGGAAAGGTAGGGGAGGAGAGAGAAAGGACCGTTGTTAGTGACTAACATCTGGGCGAGCCCGGGCTCCTAGCCCCGCCCCCAGCCCCGCCCTCTGCTGTCCAGCTCCTCCATCCCTTCCTCCCCACCAACCCTGGATAACGAAAACCTGGAAGTGACAGCACAGGCTGGGTCTCCAGGTTGCCTTTCATTCCCTTCCTACTGTCTGTGCCTTCTCCACCAGTTGCTTCTCCAGCACCAACTTGTTGCCCCAACCAGCTCCCCTGGGCATGCCACAGGCCACTCTGTGCACATCGTCCCCATGTGTGACTCACTGTCCCAGCAAGCAGATGCCTGTGGGCATGAGTGTGGATGTGGATCTACATGTAGCCAAATATGTGCATCAGTATTTCTGTGGCTGTGTGTGTGCATGCAGGAAGACATTTTCAGCTTCTTTGGGAGAGGGGTGCACTCAGGAGTGGATGTGTATCTGGGGGAATCAAAACATGGGTCTGACAGCTGTATGTGCAAGCAGAAGCATGTGTGTCTTCTGGTGTGTCTATCTGTGAGGGATGAATCCTCAGGTCTGTTATTTCTGTGTGCACATACAAGCATGCATGTACGCATATGTAGAGAACTCTTGTCACAGTCTCATTGTAGTGGGTTTCAGAGCCAACTGATCCCTGGGTGCTATGCAGGCGTAAAAAGCTGGCGGTGGGGGACAGTGGGGATTTGGGAGGCGAGAACTGAGAAAGAAGGAAAGGGGCTCAAGAAGTCTGCATTTCACTGAATAGGTTGTGGAAAAGGAAAAAAGAAGGGAAAAGGAGGCCTGCCTTCAAGAAGTGGCAGGAGAGGAGGAAAGCACCTCTCTGCTGTCCCTCCGTCTCCTGGGGGGACAATAGAGGGGATTATGGCCTTTCTTCTTCCAGATGCTCCAGGCCAGGGTGAGGGCAGGGGTCAGGGCAAGCTCTGGGACAGTGTTTCTGACATCTCTCAAGGGTCTCTCAAGGGCAGGTCCAGCTTTTGGATCATTCTCTGAGTCTTCAGGGCTCCATTGATAGATGTGTCCACCCCACACCCAAGTGATGCCAGCCATGTTCACATTTCACCTTCATGCCAGGAGCCCTAAAAACTGAGGGCCCGGGGAAGGGGAGCGTCTCTGCCAGTGACTATAAGAGAAAATACTTCCAAGAAAATAGGCCATTTTGACTCCAAACAGAAAGGGGTGTGAGAATGAGACAAGTGGTAAAAGTGCAGGAGGGGCAAGAGCAAGTTGCCAGGGGACTGAGAGCCTGGAGGCTGGAGCCCAGGTCCGGACACCTTCACCAAGTCCATCCGGGGCATCCTCCGCATGCCTTGCGAGGACCTTATCAAAGGAGGGACCAAAACTCATCCAGAATGCTGAAGGGCTGGGTGGGGAGGCCTGGAATGCTGTGCCATGACATTCAGACTCTGTCAGGAGGCAACCAGGAGCAACAGACTGGTTTTGTGTAAGATAACCCGAGAAGAATGCTGAATTGGGCAGATTGATTTGGGACTGGGCAGGGAAAATAAATGGTGGCGAATAACAGTCAGCTTGGAGATCTCTGACTCCCCACCCAAAGCTGGAGGTGGGGGGTGGAGAAGCACCAGGGTGGGTCAGTGTGAATGGGCTGAAGGCCAAGAGAATGGCTTGGGTGGTGCAAGGGGGTAGCAAAGGCATGGCCAGTTCCCAATTTGCAAGAGCCGAGCTGGTGCCCAGAAGGAAGAAGCAACAGCAGACCTGTTCCACCCCCACCTTCCTCCACAAAGCCAATCCAAGCAAGGTTGGCCCCCATGCAGCCTTGGCCTCAGCTTCAAGGCCTGTAGGAAGCAGTAGGAGACTCAGATCAGAGGGCAAGCGATCAAACAGCAGCCTTGGGAGCTCTGAGTGCTCTGGTCTTAGGAGGGGGAAGGGAGGGAAACAAGCGAGAAGCTCAAAGGCGGACCTTCCCCAAGACCAAGACAAGGAGGCCTGAGCACTCCGTTTGCTGGCATGATGACAGCTGGCATGCCAACCCCTCCACTTGTGCTCCAATCTGAGTTCTCAGAACGGGGCTCGGCACGTGTGCATGCAGGGGAAATAGGATAACCCCAAATCCCCTTGTCCCCACTCTCTGCTGCATCCCAATGCTGAAGTCTCACATCCAGCCTCTTTCAGTCTCCTGGTATTTGCCACCGACTCTGCACCTTCCCAGGCTCTCAGAGACAGGCAGGAGCCAGGAGACTAAGAGGCCCTGAGGGCTAGGAGGGGGCTCTGCCTCCTCCCTGCTGCTGCCAGGTCTCTGATCTCTCACCATTCCTCAGGCAATTATGGAGCAAGAAGCTCAGGTTGTCAGTTCAGCAGGCCCCCCACCCCTATCAGCACCTCCAGGGGCAAGGAAAGTGGGGGAGTGTTCCACAAGCTGGTGTACAGATGGAGCCAAGGCCATGGCTGTGAGGAGAGGGGGCAGGCTGGGGAAGACTGAAGGGTGACAGACAGGGTGAGAAAGAGGCAGGAGGGGAGCAGGAGAGACTGTGAAGTAGGGCTGGGGGAGGGAGGGCAGGGAGTGAGAAACAAAGACGGAGGCTGGACCATCACAGTCACCAAGATACAGAAATCCAGAAATGGAGACCCAGGCAGTGCAGAAAGGAAGAGGAGAGGGAAACGGAGTACAAAGGATGAGAGACAGCTGCAGAAAGCACTGATGAGAAATGGCCAAAAGAGCAAGAAGACTGAGGGGTGTGCGTGTGTGTACGTGCACGCATGTGCGCAGACCGAGAGGCGCCTCCTCGGCATCCTTGTCCCTGGGGGGTGTGCCAGGCAAGGGACGGGGAAGGAGGGGAGATGGACCTGAGTCAGAGGAGGGGGGCTTCTTGGGCTTGGGGGTCAGGTTGGCCTGATGGGTAGGGCAGAGAGACAAACAGAAGGCAGAGAAGCTGTGAGCCAGGGCCACAGACAAACAAAGCCCATGGTGACAGATACAGAGCGCCAGGTCCCTGGCCACTTATGGCACTGGGGCAAGGGGACGGTTACAGACAACATGAATGAACCGCTGCTGGCCTGCACTATCCTCCCCTGAAGCCTCACACACGCTCAAGGGGGAGGGGGGAGGGCGTGGCAAGTACTAAGGTGGGACAGCCTGCAGGCAGGGGCTCAGGGGGACCCTAGAGGAGCCCCAGCCTTGGCTACACCCTGCCCCACTGTGCTGGGGGTCTGTGCTCTGACCTGGGTGGGGAGGGGAATTTGGGAGGTGGTGGAGCCATGCTGAGGCCATACACACCCTGGGAACCTCCAGGGGTGCCCTCTGTGCTTGTCACACACATGCCAGCCAGCTCCCAGGTCCTTCCTGGAGTCCTCTCTGCCCCTCCTGCCTGACAGAAATGCACCTGCCCAAGGAGAAGTCACAGGCAGGCCCTCCAGCCCACAGTCTGTTGAGAATGGCAGCGCCTGTGACCCAGCAGTTCCAAGAAGGGGCTGGGGGCTCAGCCCACGTATGTGACATGGTCAGAGTGGGGGGGCCTGGTCCGTGCCCTTTAGGCCTGGGGGGCACTTGGAGGCACTTATGCCTGGGCTGTCTCCCCAGCAGGGCCAGTGGGGGCCTTCCAGCCTGTATGAGGGTGTGGGTGTTACCTACACCCCATGCACTGTGTTCCTTTAAGTAAGGCTCCTCCTCGCCCTCCCACCCAGGCTGTGGCTGGCGAGTTTCCAAGGAGATGAAGCCCAGCTCCCTCCACTGGCAGAAATGGGGGAAGACACAGGAAAGCTTGCTGCAGCCTAATGGGCGATTTAGATAATACATAAAGGGGGCTGCTGGGTGGGAGCCCCCACAGGTACCTGGGGCCCCCAGAAGTCTTAAAGGACTACCGCTTAGTCCTCTGTGTCCCCTGCCTTGCCCCTCCCTAAGGGAGAATGCACCCTCAGCCCCCTCAAGGCTGCGGTCTCCAAGGCAACAACAGCTCACCTGTAATGGACCATTCTCCTTACAGGATGAGGAAGGGGCGGGACAGAGGTTAACCCTTTGTGGGAGAGTAGGGAGAACAGTCTCCACTGGGAAGGGAGGGGGGGATCTCACCACTGGTGGCCAGACAGACATTTCCCCCTCTCCCCACTCTATTAAATAAAATCGCGGCTGGCACTTACCACATGCCAGGGACTGTTCTAAAGGCTCTTACTCTACAGTACTCATTTAATCCTTAAAATTACCCTATGGAAGGAGGCACTATCATTACCACCATTTTAGGGTTGAGGAAACTGAGGCTCAGAGGTGGCACTGATGCTCACCAAGTATGGGGTTCTAGATGGGGTTGGTGGAGGCTCCCAAAGCTGCCAAAGACTACTCCGGGGGTCAGCTCACCTCTCAGGGTCTCAGGCACCCCAACACGTGTGCCTCCTTGCATTCCCAGAGAGCCAGGGGCCTGGACAAGGATGGGCTCCAAGTTGCCCTGCCCCCAGGGGAAGGGCCTTATTTGCTAGGCAGATGGCAAGCAAATGCAGGGGACGGGGAGGGAAGTCTTGGGAAGAGGCCACACGGAAGTAGGATGTGACCCACATCACACCTCAGCACAGAGCAGGATCCATCCTCACTCAGCTTTGGGCTTGACACAACCTCCCAGCCAAGGACTCTGGAAGAGAGAAGGCAGGCAGCTCCAGGACAGCCTGGGTTTCTCGGTCCCCTCCTTGGCTATCCAGAATCTTGGATTGCTCTGACCTCTTTCCCAAAATCAAAGGCCCCAGAGCCTGCTCACCAAGAGCCCCTGGCTACGTGGAAGGTCCCTCTTTCCAGTCAGAGCTTAGGGACAGCACTGACTCCCTTCCCCTGAAAGGGAAACTGAGGCCCAGTGGAGCAGGGGCCAAGACTCTGGCCTCCCAGACCTCCAGAATGCAAGCACCAGAGCCAAGTTTTCCATGCACAGTTGGGGCAACTGATACGGCCTAAAACTGTGCCCCACCTCCAACCCCTCTAAGCCCTATCTTTGGAAAGTGGGTTCCAAACAAGGCCTGAAACCCCCAACCTGAGAAATGAACCAGGCACCAGAGGGGGCTTCAGGGACTGGGCAAGATGGGGAGACATCCATCAGCTCCTATGGGCCAGTCTCCAGGACTACAGAGGAAAGGAGGAAGGAGAGGAGGCAGGCAGGGTGGGGGAGGGTGCCTAGCAAATGGAGAGGGGTCCAGGACAGGCGCTGGCCCACCAGTGGAGCTGGCTGCTCAGACCTGCCAGCCTTGGGACACCTGGGCTGAGAGAGGAGGGACAGGGGGCACCTGGAAACAGCTCGGACACTGCCAGACCCCTCCGGCCCCCTCGGGGCTCCCCACTCCAAAGGGTTAAAGGGCAGAGGGGGCACAGGAAGCCTGGGGGTGGACAATGGAGCCTCTGTTGTCCTCAGGGCCTCAGCATTCTTAAGGCATGAACGAAGGCGGCCAGGGGAGGGGCCAGGGGACACCCCCCCAACAGGAAGCCCCCACATCACACAAGGAGGAACTGCAGCCTCTGCGGCCACTGACATCAGCCCCACCCATTCCCAGTATGGGATCCGCCTGGGCACAGGGGGCTCTGTGTGCGCAGGCGTACACACACAAATGCACACATGCAACCAGATACATGATCCCCACACATGCAAATAGGAAGACTGGAAGCTACGCATGCACCCCACACCCAAAGCTGCCGCATGCAAACCTCCACACTGGCAGCCCTCTCCCAATCTGCCAGGCTCTGACCACTTCAGAGGGAAGAGTGCCTCCTGCGGACTCATCACCTCCCTCCAAGCTCCATCATCAGACTGACATGAAGATGGACAGGCTCAGAAGGCCCCTTCGGCCAAGTATACAAAGCCCAGGCCACCACTGCCCTCCTGCTCCACTCAATCCAAGGCTCCCAGCCATCCCTCTGGGTTTAGGGCCAGAGACTGGCCTGAGTTGCCCAGTGGCAGGACAGTAGCCGGGTCCTCCCTCCACAGCTTCATGATCCAGGAGAACACAGAGGGCGCAGGTAACTCCTGAGGCCTTAGATGGGGGGCACTGGACAAAGAAAAGCTTCTAGGGAGACCAGCGGCCCAGACCCCCCCCCCAACAGAGGAGCTCCGCACCCTCCCCCCGCTCCTCCTCTCGGATCACAGCCTTTAGGAAGCCGCAAAGATACTGCTGATATCTGGGGAGAAGGTAGGCTGGCCTTGCTAACCACCCACCCCCACCCCCGTCCCCTGGTTGGTGGCCACCAGGCGCCCCTGTCCACCCTCCAGGTCGACGAGGCCCCAGAGGGAGGTCTGGGCCCAACCCAAAGGCATAGAGCTGGGTGGCCGTGCACACATGGGGCAGCAGGGCACCCTGGTGCTGAGGCTCAGAGCTCAGAGCTCAGGGCCAAGCTTGGGCCGTAGAAAGCGGGGCAGGGGAGAGGTGCAGAGAAATAAGTTAGACAAAAGGGGAAGTGGAGAGATGGAGACAAGGGCACCTGGGGAGGGGTAGGGCAGGCAGAGACAGGAGAAGGAGAGGAGGGGAATGGTGCACCCTCCACAGCGAAACTCCAACAGAGCAGATGCTGTGTGGGGTGGGGGTGGGGGTGTAAAGAGGCAGGCAGCAGCAGAGAGCAAGGGGAGGGCAGGGGAAGCAGGAGATAGGGGACATCCAGGATGGGCCAGGTCAGAGCAAGTAGGAGGGAGAAAGGGGGGATAGGGCCCACCCGGGAACCTCAACCCAGCCTTCCCAATTATGGGAGGAGGGGGCAGGGCAGAGACAGCAGCCCACTTGGGACCCTAGACAAGGGACTCAGATACCTGGCCTCCCCTACTGTCTGAATCACAGGGTGGGGCAGGGCCCTGGGACTGTGCTCTGGGTCGCCACTCGCACCCACAGAAAGGGGCCTGGCAAAGCAGGGTGGTGGGATGCGATACCCGTCTGGGCTGACCTCTGCACAGGGCCTCCAACTCTACTTCACTCTCCTAGGCCCAGGGTACCCCCAGGAACAAGCCCCCCTCCTCACTCCAGAGCTGTTTCAACCTTTTGCCCAAGAAGAGGTTCGGGAAGCTTCCATCACACCCTCGCCCTGGCTTTCCTGGAGGCAGGTCCAACATGGCCAGGCCATGTGCCCCACTGCCCAGAAGAGAGCCCCAGGAGACGTTCTGTCCAGCTGCAGCCATTTAGAGTGGCACCAGGGACCGTTTGCCTTGAAAGGGACCTTGAAGATGACGAAGTCTGCACCCTCCCGTGATAGCCAAAAGGGCTGAGACCCAAAGCGGTCCCACGTCGCAGGCGGCCTCCTCCACCCTGCCCAGCTGGCCATGCTCAAGTGCACGCCACAGAAGGCACCCACCCAGCACGGGAAGAGGCTGACAGGGGCACAACCCAGGCAGCTCTGCCCACTGGAGTAGGCCTCAGACAAGGCCCTTCCTCCATCCCTGCCTCCCTTTTCCCTGCAGATTGTCACAAAGGAGGAAAAGAAAACCAATCCACACCCCCTGAAGACAAAGACAGTGTTGATCTGGTTTGTTACCGGCTTTTCCATGGGTAACCCCAAACCTGGCCGGAGCAGGCACCTGGCAGTGAGCGGCTGCCCAGCGAATGACTGCCCCCCCCCCACCGCCATGAGCCACTTAGCTCCTGTACTGGGAGGAGCTCATTACTGTGCTGAGCCTAAGGCTTGGTGCTTTGCAGAGGGCTGGACGATGAGCATTGGGGGAGGAGCCTCTTGGGAGCAGATTGTAGCAAACCAGGGAGACTGAGGCTGGGGTGTGCTGAGCGGGTTTCTCTCTCGGTGATCAGATCACCAAGGATCCTTAATTTCTTTTGTTCTTTTCTGTATATTTCAAGCATACCACAATAAGACGTATCACTTTGGGAATCGCATACACCAAGACATAAATAAGTATGGAGAGAGAGAGACGAGGATGCAGCGAAGAGAAATGGCCAGCAACCTGGGAGGAGGGTTCCAGCCTCAGCACTGACATGAACTTGCCTTGTGGCCATAGATTAGCCAAGAGTCCCCCCAAGGCGAGGGAGCTCATGGGTGCACATGTGGGCGCTGCACGGGCTCTGTGCCAGGTGAGAGGCCAGGCCAGGTGAAGCACTACCACCGGCAACAAGGAACTGATCAGAGGCAAGAGGCCCCCGGCTGCCCTCAGCCCCAGCCACTTCACTGGGGAGAAGAAAGACGGGGCTCACCAGCTGTAGTTCTTGGGAAGAAAGGCTGAAGGGCTTATTCATCAGCAGGGCCACGTGAGTCAGCAGCCCCTGCCCTGTGGGCGGAGTTAACTGGAAGCAGGGCACCTACTTGGAGGGGGTATCAAGCCCCCCACTTCTTGGGAGGGGGGCAGATGGCCCTGGGCTTGCCTCCCTGAGACTGGCTGTGATGGGCAGGCCGCCAGATATCGTGTAGGGGGCAGCAGGTTTTACCAGGTGCTCTTTGCAAACCCTGCCAACCAAGAGTCCCCAAAAATTTGCCGTAGGAAGAGGGGAATAGGAACTGCAGACCCTCCCACAAGGGAGCAGAGGCAGGAAGACTCGCGAGCAGAAGACCTGCAGTGGGCAGGGCCAGGGCCCCCAGCCAGCGAGGCTCCCCTCCCTCTCCCTACCTGACAGACCCACACTGGTGGGTTTCCAGGCCAACCTCACTCAGTGCACACTTTCTTGGCCACCAGAGCCTGCAGAAACTGAGGCTGCAGGCGCACCCTACGCCTCCAGGGAGAGAGACCCTGGTCCCGGCCCAGGCTGGAAGGGGAGCACGGGGGAGTCCAAGCTGGGGTTTAGAAAGAAGAGAACAAAGCCCCTCTTCCCACCTTGGGGCGGAGGGCCCAAGCAGCACCCAGCCCTGTTCTCTTCCCTCCCCTCTCATGGCAGGGGCCGCCTAGTCCAACCTCCCCCCCAACCCCGCTGGCGGCTGGAATTTCAGCCAAACAGGACCCTGGATTGAGAAAGGTGGGCAGCCACGCCCAGGGCCACACCCCACGGCGGCCGATGGGGAGGCGGGGGTCACTTAGCCCCACCGCGCTCCCTTTCTTATACACGCACACCCCCGGAGGGACGTGCCCGCATAGTCCCTGCCTGACTCCCCCCGGAGTGTCCCTCCCTGGG